GGGCCTTTTAATCTAACCAGGTTTTGTAACCCTTGGCTTATAGTAGAATCGAATAACTTTATAAGTGTATAAGTCATGTGAATGATAAGGTTATTAAGGACACGATATCAGTTACTATTATTTTTTTTGTTAAGCAAGGCATCCCAAGCAAGGTGGGAATGCCACTAGTATGCAAGGACTATAGAGAATGTAAGTTAGGGAAAAGTCTGGGTATAGGTGGGGTTATGAAAACATAAAGAGAAGAACGGAGGGGGATCAAAAGAAGAACGAGGATCAAGGCAAAAGAAGATGTCGATTGACATTACATTTAAATATTTGAAGGTTATAGTTATCAGGAAACAAGTAAGAGGAAGGGAGTTCCACTGCCGGGAAGTGCGAGAGAAGAAGCTGTTGGAGTAGAAGAGTCGGTTACATTTAACTGCTTCGACAATAAAAGGGTGGGACCGAAATGCCAACCTAGTAGCACGTTTAAATTTATGTAGTCGAGGCCCCAGTGAAAATAACTCGTCAGAGCAGATGCCATGAAAATATTTATAGAAAAGACAGAGGGAAGCCACATTACGTCTGTGAGAAAGTGACTGGAGTCGAGACCCCTAGTTAGGACCGATCACGTTGCATATCCGTCTTTGGATTTTGTTTAGAACCTCGAGATGAACAGCGGAGGCACCAGGCCATATATGGCAACAGTATTCAATGGTAGATTTGTAGACGTGAAGGATGGACTCAGACGAGAAAAAAAACCTTCTACGTCTAAGGAGTTGTTATAACTATTTTTGAGCGTAGCTTAGATGTGATAAAAGCCGAAAGTAGGTTGAACTCAGTGTGGATCAAATTCGCTACTCAATCATAATTGATCTAGGAGGACAACTCTGCTAAGAATCATACCTCGTTGAGGTGCCCTAAAACAGCAAAACAAAAACATGGAAAGTTACCAAGAGGGTGGGGGTATTACCTGAAATCCAGAGGCACGGCACGGGGAATTAGAACAATCTATACCTATGCATCAAATAAAGGTTTCGGATCGAAATTCCAACAAATATCACCTGAAGAAGGCCAGAGCGTACAACGGCTGAAACCTCGTGAATAAGTCAATAAAGCTGAGGACAACAGATCGAACAAAGTAAATAGTGTTCTTAGAGTGTTGTTATAGCTTTTGGCGGTATAAGTTAATTTCTTATTTTCGAATCATGTTTATACATTCAAAGGTTTTTCCGAATATCTTGTAAATAATTCATGCCAGGATTGTTACTCATCGCTTCACGGAACTATCGAGATCATTACTTGTCTCAGTGGTACAAGTTGTCAGTAACTGACTTGAAAATCTCGTCTGATCTCTTACTATCTCGTAGGACACGTTCTTCCCGAGGGAAATCACGTCATTTCACATAAAACATAGCGGAGCACATCAATTTACTAATTTCACAAACAAGATGTAAAGGTAGTAGTAGGAGGCCATCAAGAGTCATAGTAGTCGGAGAGTAATAGATCTTCTATTAGTTTGGTGCAAAAATAATGACGCAATAATGTCGTTTTTTGACCTTAAAAATACGTCAAAAAACGACATTATTACGTCATTATCTTTGCACCAACCTAATAGCTCTCATTTTCATTCAGGACGTGTGCGAACATGGCTCTCTACAACTTCCTTTCCTTTGTTGCTCTGAGCAATATTTGTCATTTTATTATCCTTACACTTCGTTGTCTTACTATTCACTTGCACTCGTTAGCGAGTTTACTCGCCATTTTCTCCAGTCTGTCTCGCCTTCAGTATACTTGGTCAAGTTCTGCAAGCCATCTTTTTCGTATTAAGTATCCCAGAAATCTCAATTGTCTCTTTCCGGTTTTATGTATAATTGTCCTTTTTATTTACATTTTCCCTAAAACTTCGTCGTTGCTTGCCTGTTCCCTCTCTTGTATTCTCAGCCTCCTTCTGTAGAACCACATCTCTGATGCTTCAAGTCTTTTCTCTATCTGTGCGGAAATCTACCAGAGTTCACTGCCATATTGATGGATTGAGGATGGATATTGCATAGCAGTTCAGCACTATTTTCTTTTTTTCTAACGAAATATTACTGCATTTTTTGTTTGTTTTTTAGGCATTCTTTGCTATCCGTACCTGCCTTCGGATTTCAGTGTCACATTTTCTAGCCCCTGATAAAAAAAAACACTTCCCAGTCACTTCAACTTCGGTACCTGTTTATTTTTAACCTCTGAAATTCGTAGATTGCATCTTTGACTTTTTCTCTTGCCGACTCCCATACATTTTTTCTTCTTCCAGTTGATGTAAAGAGAGTAGGAAGATGGCTTCAAGTGTGACAGTAGTCGCAGTGTAATAGCTCCCGTTTTCATTCAGGAAATGGGCGAACACGGCTCTCTACAACCTCCTTTCCATTGTTACTCTGAGCAATATTTGTCATTTTACTATCCTTACACATTTTTTTCTTGCCATCCGATTGTACTCGTTATGGAGTTTACTCGACATTTTCTCCAGTCACTTTGCCGCTTTTTTTTTACTAAATTGTTTTGGGGGTCTTGTTGATATCTTTCTGTATTTGACATCAACACAGTATCGTCTGCGTATCATATATTGGTAAAACTGCGTATCATATATTGCCAAGTTATAGGATGCGTATCATATATTGCCAAGTTATAGGCTGCGTATCATATATTGGTAAAACATCGTATCATATATTGCCAAGTTATAGGCTGCGTATCATATATTAGTAAAACTGCGTATCATATATTGCCAAGTTATAGGCTGCGTATCATATATTGGTAAAACTGCGTATCATATATTGCCAAGTTATAGGATGCGTATAATTTATTGGTAAAACTGCGTATCATATATTGCCAAGTTATAGGCTGCGTATCATATATTGCTAAAGCTGCGTATCATATATTGCCAAGTTATAGGCTGCGTATCATTTATTGGTAAAACTGCATATCATATATTGCCAAGTTATAGGCTGCGTATCATATATTGGTAAAACTGCGTATTACCAAGTTATAGGCTGCGTATCATATATTACTAAAACTGCATATCATATATTACCAAGTTATAGGCTGCGTATCATATATTGCCAAGTTATAGGCTGCGTATCTTATATTGGTAAAACTACGTATCATATATTGCCAAGTTATAGGCTGCGTATCATATATTGGTAAAACTGCGTATCATATATTGCCAAGTTATAGGCTGCGTATCATTTATTGGTAAAACTGCATATCATATATTGCCAAGTTATAGGCTGCGTATCATATATTGCTAAAACTGCGTATTACCAAGTTATAGGCTGCGTATCATATATTAACAAGTTATAGGCTGCGTATCATATTGCCAAATTATAGGCTGCGTATCATATATTGCTAAAACTGCATATCATATATTACTAAGTTATATGCTGCGTATCATATATTGGTAAAACTGCGTATCATATATTATCAAGTTATAGGCTGCGTATAATATATTGCCAAGTTATAGGCTAAGAACAGGGCAGACTAAGTCCTCTATTCTTGGTCTAGAAGGAAGACTATTTAAAATCTAATACAGCTGAGGAGGTAACAAGAACCAACATTACTATATGTCGGAAGATTTTTATTTCCACACTTCAGCCCGACCTCTTGAATTGAGGTTTATACCTTATTTCCTGTTAGGATTGGGTTTCCGGTTCCTTCTAAAGTCTTTTCATGTTCCTTCATTTCCAGCAGCTCCCTTGCGTCTTAGTGGCCTTATCACCTTGTTTAGACGGAATTGATTAAAATAACCACAGGCTTCCTTTATTAATTAAGGAAGTCTATGGGGGTGCATGTTTGTCTATGTTCTGAAGGTATATGGCATTAACATTGAGAATAAGTATGCAGAATCTTGCGTGCTTTGCTGTAGAGATTTAAACAAACGAAAGGTGGAAGATAAGCGTTTTCTTTTTAGTCTATCGTCGGAACTGAAGGCATTATAACATTTTAAGAAAAATATGTTGCTTTATATTTTTCATCAGCTCCGGAGGCTGAAATATTATTTTAAGGAAAGAAATGTATTTCTAGCTTTTGTTGAACCTGGAGCCATCATAACCTTTTAAGGAATGATGTGCTTATATGATTTTTGGTTGACCCTGAGACAGTTATAATCTTTTAGCGAAAGATGCATCCTTTGGCATTTTCATTGGCACTGAAGTTATTATGACATTTCGTAAACAAAGTTGTCTCGCTCTAAAACATTTCAGACATTCTGAATTCCCCGTAGATTACAGATCCTTTTAGAAATGGTGATCGCTTCCACTGTTGCGGGTCGCGTGTCCAGAATACATCGCACTCGACTCTCACGTATCATCCTGTTTGGAGAGCTCGCCAGCGGTAGGAGGATACGCGGAGGTCAAAAACGACTCTCTAGGGATCAGTTGAAAACATCCCTGACGCAGGTCAACAAAGACCCTGAGACTTTGGAAACTGTTGCTACAAATCGACCTTACTGGCGTGTGGGACCATCCAAGGTGGCATCAATATTTTCGGGTCCAACTTCTATAGCTGTGACCACCACCCACACGCTTCTGTGACTCCTGCTCAAGACTCTTCAGGAGTAGGATGGGCCTCTGTCACCCCCACGAACAGGGAAATATGGGATAAGAAGAGAGGGTGTCGAACCTGATGCTCGAATGCGAGGAGGTATTGACGACAACCAGTGGTGAGTGATTATGATTTTTTTTATTTTTTGCTGGAGATTTTTTTTTACTCGGTAGAATCCTTTTTATTGTAACGCTATTTCCAATATTTACCGGAAAATATTTGGATCAGACAAAGAAATAAATAATCTCTGTACATTTCATTCCAAGAAAAAAAATAAGTAAATATTTATTAGTTTTTATCTTCACCTACAATGTTTCTGATAGAACCAAAATAGAGTTTCATGACTTCAAAGACATGAATTCTGTTTCATCTTTTCATGATATTTGTACTAGATAAAAAAAAATTCTCCCATTTCTACTATTAAATCCGGTTGTAGAGAAATGTCTTTTATCCCCAGAAAGCGATCATTTGCTTTACCATTATTCCAAAAGAGTTTTACGTCAGTGTTACGTCTGCACGAGCTACGTTCGTTTATCAGGAGTCTTGTCTTTGATGATCACCTTAAATTAAGCCTGTTCTCCAAAAATATCTGCCAGGTCAATCGATTCTTATGATAGTGAAAGAGGCTTGGAATTTGGTGCGTAAATATTTGTTAATCTTAAGTAGGTCTTGTACAAGATGGTAACTATGGAACATGCTGTACGAATCGAACAATTGTTATAAGGAATTATTAGTAATGTTTGACTAATATTAATATTGGTATTCACAGTGAGTGTAACGGTTATCAGTACCAAAAGTAAAATTGCCGAGCCGGGTTCAAATTGCGGTCGATACTGTTTCATTCATTTTCATAAAAGTGATGAATATGAACCATTGGAAATGGCAAAAGAAAACACGAGTAAACCTTCCTCCAAAAAAGCAGGGAGAGAGACACACACACACACACACACACACACACACACGTTTGGGAGAAAATAATTAGCATTTGGATTCTATCAAGTCTGAAGTGTGTTAATAATGATGAATCCTCATCCCAGAAATTCAGGCCGGAAGAAATTCTTGCTAACAGTCGTCATACCGTTGAACCTTTGGAACACATAACGATAGATTATTGAAAGCTTTGAAAAGACAAAGAATTTATACAAATGGCCAGGGAAATAATTCTGGAGGTTGTAAAAAAAGGTCGAAATGAAGCTAACATTGAAACCAATCGATATGAATTGTATTTATAATAACGGGTGTCCTTTAAACTGTACTAAATCAACAGGAGCAAGAATGTAATTTTTCACCTACCAAATATAAATATATGACGGTTGATTACTTCACAGAATTTATACGGATTCAAAAATTCAAAGAACCAAAGAATTTTGGCATGAAATCACCATGGAATTACATCGTGTATAACAGCAGCCGTCTATTTATCTATCTTGCGGCCTTCAGCCGAGATTGAACTCACCAATACTTTGATTGATGTAGTTCATAATCTTGTCAAATAGCTGAATTCTTGATGCTTCGCTAGGGCTATCAAGGGTGTTTTTATCGTGACACCATCACTAAATGGACTGCCAACCAAGGCTCAGAGAGACTCCATTCACCCTCCTCTAAGATTTGAAGGGACGAATACAGAGACCTGGTGCACCGAATGCCACAAGGTTCTCAAACGACCCTCCGCAGATTTGAATTCAGAGTTGTCCTTCTCCTAGACCAGTTGCCATCCAGTCTGTCCTGCTATTTTACTCATAAATACAAACTGCGAGAGTCGGACGGGAGCGCAGAGTGTGAAGTGGAGAGTAAGAGGATTCATACCTTTCTCAAGGGTATTAGCACGTAAGTGAACGTAATGGATTCGACTGGAATTCGAACTCGGCTCTGCGATTCCTCAATCCAAGCCGCTATCCATTACACCACCGTGCCTCCAGCAGTCGTCACATGGCCTATATCTTGTGGTAAAACCTCTTACAGTATAATGAACTCTTCCTTCTCTCATAAATACAAACTGCGAGAGTCGGACGGGAGCGCAGAGTGTGAAGTGGAGTGGAGTAGTAGACTCAGTGCTAATCTACTTATTACTAACGCTATTGGTTTGTATATATCTTCAATATACTTTTTTCAACCTACCTTCGTCTTATGTGTCTTTCTTTCTGCCCCTTAAACAGGCCACAACACTATCTATCTATCTATCTCTGTTCAATATCTATCTATCTATATATCTATCTATCTATCTATGTTCACTATCTATCTATCTATCTATCTATCTATCTATCTATCTATCTCTGTTCACTGTCTATCTATCTGTTGTGGTAAACCCTTCTACAGGTAGAATGAACTCTTCCTCCTCTCATAAATACAAACTGCAAGAGTCGGATAGTAGAGAGGGGTGTGAGGGGAGTAGTAGACTCAGTGCTAATCTACTTATTACTAACGCTATTGTTTTGTATATATCTTCAATATACTTTTTTCAACCTACTTTCGTCTTCTGTGTCTTTCTTTCTGTCCCCTAAACAGGCCACAACACTATGTGAGGTATCTCCACCAAAGGAAGATAATCTCCATCTGCATCCCGACAATGATATCGTGTATAACAGCGACTTCCATAGAAATACCTTCTTTCTTTTATTTACAAAGCAAAAGTGGTGGTAGAATTAATTTGGTTCTAATTATGATTCATTAATTGAAAATAATGAAAGAGGTAAAATTTTACAAGTACCTAATTGTTATATAAGACTAACGTGTCGCTGCCGACACGAGTTAGAACATAGATCGCCAGTTATCAAGCACAAACGATCCCATCATTGATTTAAGCAGACCACGTGACCATAGAGGGAACGCATAAGTAGGAAGTCGCGTGACGGTTATAGGATCGCCATTTCTAGTCTATCCTCTATTACTCTTCGGATCGTTATGTCTTCTCTATTACTATACGAACCGCTATTCTCTACTCTATTCACTATATTATTTTTCTATTTGGATCACTATACAGATTACTATTCGAGCGAGTATTATTAGTGCGAGTGCTATTCGAAGGAGTCTAACACCAGTCTTGTTCAACGGCGTTTTATAGCTGTAGCTGCGGTTACTAAGTCTCTACTACAACGAGCATTGCGAAAGTGACAACGAGTATTCTTTAGCATTAGAAAAGTGTCAAAGGAGTGTTCGTTAACATCACAAAACTAATACCTTAGAAGAAAAAAATTTCATTAAAAAAAATAGAAGAAAATTGTTTTAAATATATCACTCATAACCTGTATTGTCTTCATTGTTTGACCCTTTTTTCACTTTAGTTACATTTTAGTTTCATTGGTCACCTTTATTAATACTTCCTGTTAGCAATTAGGAGCCGGTACTGTAAAAAGTATTGGCCCAAGGACGCTGTATCTATTTTCTAATCCATCTAAATCGACCCCACAACGATAACATCGCCACTATGTAACCTTTAAATCCTTTTCTCTCTCCATTCGTTTCCTTTAATGTCATATTATTATTTGAAAAGTGTTTAATGTAGCCATACTTCATACATTTATTTCATGTTACTATTTACATTAATCAGACAATTGTCCTCATCTTTGTCGCCATGTTTATCACAACGTTTCGGCCAAAACGTTGTGATAAGCATGGCGGCAAAGATGAGGAAAATAGCCCGAATAATGTAAATAGTAAACATAATACCTCATCTCAGAAATATTATATTTTATGTTTGTAACTCTCTAGTATGATTTTCAACACTTGTCTACCTCTTACACATTATTCGAAAATATAACTTTCATGTAACTTTCTACCTTTCTGTGAAATTATCAAAGTAACTTTGTAAGTAATCACGTCGACAAAGTATTCGCTACCTGCCTAGCTGCATCTACACAAATGGTTTTATATGTTCAAACCTCCGGCTGTTTTTTTTTTTCATATTCCTTTTTATCATTGTCGGGATACAGATGGAGATTATCTCCCTTTGCTGGAGATACGTCACATAGGTCATGTGACGGCCGCTTAGTGGCGTCACTTGAGAAAGTGATGAGAGCGGCAGTCATTTTCAATTTGTTTACAACACCAAAACCGACCAGTTAATTTTTTTTGCTGGGCTGAGACTAAATTTGCCTCTCCAGCAGCTTACAAAGTTTCATGGTGGCGTTTCCTTTGGAAATATGTCTTTCCCATATATAAAAGAAACTCCAGCTCGCAGTTATCAATTTGGGAAAAATCATTCTACTCTGTGATATATATATATATATATATATATATATATATATATATATATATATATATATATATATATATATATTAAACAATATACGGACACGACAGTGATGAAAGTCTGTCATTGTTTACATAGTGGATCACTAAGCAACGATAAACACTGTCGTGTCCGTATATTGTTTAATATGTTTGTGATTTATATCTTTGATAATGGCTTAAGTAAGCCGAAAGCTTAGATTATCAACTACAGATAATTGGTAACAGAAGCCATTGGTTTATACCAACGGCTTTCCTTATTTCATTCTACAATTCACTCTCGTGTAGTCATGTGTGACGTCATGAGATGCGGTGCGATTTTCGCTTCTAGCGTCTTATATGCGCGTGTTCATCGTTGCTTAGTGATCCACTATATATATATATATATATATATATATAGTGTAACCCGGATATAAGAGAAACCCGGATATAAGAGAGATTTTCTCTGGTCCCAAATTAGAACCTGTGTTAATGTATATAAAATAGACCAAACCCGGATATAAGAGAAACCCGGATATAAGAGACTTCTTATCCTGTCCCGACAACTCTGTTATATCCGGGTTACACTGTATATATATATATATATATATATATATATATATATATATATATATATGTATATATGTGTGTGTGTGTGTAATATTATCCTCTTCGTGGCACACGTGCATATATATATATATAGTTTTCTGTATGTCTCTCTCTGAGAATAAAGCATGTTTGTCATTTATTTTCCTTTAATCTATTCCGTTCCGTATCTGTCTATATTACTGATTTGAGGCATTATGTACACTATTGACAATATTCGGACTATTGCCCTCATCTTTGTCGCCATATTTATTACAACGTTTCGGCCCTTGTACGTTCCGGCCTTCTTCAGATGGTTGGAATGTTCCGTTCGTGAATTACGGTGTTATTTTTTGACGGATATAATAATGCACGTAATGGGGGAAATACAAATGGGTGAATAAATCTTTTTTCACTTAGTCTCTCCTGTTATTTCATCTTGTTTGTTTGTTATTCAGACTAAACTAGTCTTATAAGTGTATTTATTTCTTTTCCTAGTTTTACCCTTTTGCCAAGGAACAGGACTTAATTGCTTTAAGGCGTTTATCTGGCTGCCCAGATGTACGCACGCGTACTCGGAAGGTATAACAATGCTAGATTAAATAGGACAAGTCAAATAATTGTTTATATTAAACTGACAACGTTTCTTGCTCTGAAGACGTTGTTAGTCGAATTCTGATCATTTTAGCACGAAATCTATGTAAAAATAACAAAAGGCCATGAGAATTAGTCGTTTTTGGTTGACACGTATACGTAAAAAGTATGTGAGAGCATGTAGTTGACAGGAGAGGTATTTAGTGAAGTTTACGTTTTCGCTGGAAATGTTGACACGTGACTCCAACGAATCCGAAGACCTAATTGTATTTGTTTCAATTTTATTTTTCCTGGAATCAAAAGATTTTTTTAAAAATTCTTTCTTCATTTTATGATCGACTTAATTATTAGATATAGAAAGAAAATCGATAATTTCTCATTTTTCTGTCTAATAATTAACTTTCTGGATTCATTTTTTTTCTCTCTCGATTTTATTGAAGAATTAGAACAAAGTAATTGAAGAGCCATTCAAAGACTACGACGCGAAATCGAAAGGACTAAATAAAAGGAAGGGAAGAATTTTTTTTTAATGATCAGAAAGAAAAAGGAATTTAGAATTTGTTTTCCTAATTAATATTTATTTTTTGGCAAGGGCAGTTTGGGAACAGTGATAAAGATCAAATATATATATATATATATATATATATATATATATATATATATATATATATATATAATTTATGATCAAGGTTGATTTGAGTTTAAAAAAAAAAAGGAGATCGATAAAAACATATAAAAGTCAGTTAATTAGTTTCTTCCAATCTTAAAGTCATCAATTTCAAGAACAGAAATCAGCTGATATTTTAGAATCCTAGCTGCGGAATATGACTCGACAGTTTTCGATCTTTCAACACTATGAGACGTGAACAACTGTTTAATATATAATCTCATATTTCTGACAGCGAAACTTGAACACATATTGATAGGGTTCTACCGATTGATGCTAAGAAACCTCTGAAAATGACATATGAGAAACTGAGGGAAGTTTAATGAGAACAGGAAGAGCAAGAATACGTATAATCAGAAAAATAAAGTTTAAATTTTCGGAACACATAATGAGGACAGATGGCGCGAAAATTGTACGAAAACACCGCCCCGTTGACGTAATATACACTGTTTAAAATAAAAATAAAACAACGAAGACAACTATCCACTAAATAATTTCAAATACGAGTATCCACTAAATAATAATAACGTATATATATATATATATATATATATATATATATATATATATATATATATATATATATATATATATATATATATATATATATATATCTTTTGCTCTACTTAGCGTATTGAACACTCTACGTTTTATCTTAGTTACTCGCTTGTTTTTTTCTTTGGACTGGAAATTTAAGGTACTTGACGATTTTTTTCGCCATGTTCGGATGTTCCTTTTTTCTTAATTTTTTCCTCGGAAACCAGTTTGTTTTGATATATTTGCAAATTGCACAGCCCGAGTATTTTTACCAACCGAGTAGAATTATTAGTATAATATATATATATATATATATATATATATATATATATATATATATATATCAAAAAAACTTAATACATCATCGTTACAATTTATTTTAATGGGTAAGTTTTTAACAGCTGTCGGTCTGATGAGACGGGTGTTAAAAACATACCCGCTGAAATAAATTATACTCTATAACCGTATTTTCGTTGATGCGTTAAGTTTTTCCGTGATGTATAACATATTTCTGTGTATGCTATACGTTGAGTGAACTTTATGGATCCATCTTTTTAATATTTTATCTTAAAAATGGCCTACTTGGATTATCCTTTCCACTTACGGATTTGATATTATCTCTCTCTCTCTCTCTATATATATATATATATATATATATATATATATATATATATATATATATGTATATATATAGTTAATACCTATAATCTATTGGTGAAAAAATTGGTACTTAATAAAATTCGCAAATCTAAATATATCAAAGCAAATTGGTAGAGAAAAAAAAAATTTCCAAAAAGAAAGAACTAGTTCATATCTGAGCAGAAAATAAAAATATATATATATATATATATATATATATATATATATATATATATATATATATATATGTATATCGCCTTTAAGGAGCCGTGTTTCTGATATAATCTAAATTCAAAAAGATTTATATTGTATATACTACAACCTGCCTCAATTAGTTCTTATTTAAATACACAACCTAACACCATCCGCAGCATACATTTTACTAAAAATTTAATAGCCTCATTCACATGTAAAAAAGGCTAAAATTATGGAAGAATTATTAATAAAAATAGAAAAGGCCAACATACAGTAATATAAACTATTCACAATGTGCCGACCATGTTTGGAAAATAAAGCATTCCTCCGACTCTAGGCACATGCATAAAACAATCCATACATTCAATTAAATGTAAAAATAAAATCGCCCTTGATAATGGCTAAAAGAATATCCAAAAGCACTCGGTAATACAAAACATTCGGGCAATTTTTACATAAGTTTTGTTTAGAAAAGAAGAAAATTATAAGAACACAAGAAAAACTAAATAAAGGAAAACCTAACCATAGTACCATGACAGTTATTTTTAATGAAACTTGCATACAAGAGGAATTGCTGTCCAAATACACAATTATATATATATATATATATATATATATATATATATATATATATATATATATATATATATATATAGGGGTCGGACAAAAGAATTGGAACACTTGTTAAATGCAAAGAAAATTTTTACGGGAGTCCGGCTACGGCAAACGAAGGCCTTCGACAAAATTACGCACTTTACGCACTTACCTTCTAAGGCGCATTACGGGAGTCCGGCTACGGTAAACGAAGGCCACCGACGACTGTCCAGGCACGACACACGTCCGGCTACGGCAAACGAAGACATTCGACGAACTTTGGCATTCTACGGGACTTACGCACATGCCTCTTAAGGCGCATTACGAGAGTCCGGCTACGGCAAACGAAGGCCTTCTACGGGATTCTACGGCGCATTACGCCGGCATGAAGGCCTTCTACGGGATTTATTACGGGGGATCCGGCTACGGCAAACGAAGGCCTTCTACGGGACTTACGCACATGCCCCTTAAGGCGCATTACGGGAGTCCGGCTACGGTAAACGAAGGCCTTCTACGGGACTTACGCACATGCCCCTTAAGGCGCATTACGGGAGTCCGGCTACGGCAAACGAAGAAGGCCTTCTACGGGACTTCTTACGCACGCCCCTTCTAA